ACTAATTACCGTTTCCTGAGAGACTGTAGGCAATCTGGATACATTTCCTTTGTCAAATATGATAAAAAAAAACTCCCATATTAATGACTGGTTTTCTTAATTTTTCATTGAAAATGAGAGTTTAAAATACAGTTTTTCATCTTGTTTACCAACAAATTATGCCCCGAAACACCTTATTTGACCAAACTAAAGTTGTAAAGCATTGATAAAGGAATTTATTTTTCAAATTTGATAAATCTGTAGGCACCTTTCATTTACTAGATCTTGACCTTAAATATCACATTAATATCGCACATAGATATCATACAAAAATAAAAGTATATTCGGGGAAAAATGAATACAATATTTCAAATTATTAAATTTTATGAATTTTCTTATCTGTTCTCTTAACATAGGGTTGAACTGAAAATTCAAGTTATTACTTATCTGTAGAGGAATCATTTAATTTAGACACCCCCCCCCTTCCACCATTTAATCTGTGAATTATTTCAAATGCTTAATTGCTTATGAAAACTTTATCGTCAAATCTCAAAAACAAAACAAAGTTACCCCACCACCCTTAAAAAGGTTTGTTAATAATTACATTTGCAGATAATATGTGCTCTATAGAGCAATATACGTATATTCTACATTAATATAACGTAAATTGAATTTCAGTACCAGTAAAGCATAGACGCATACGTTCTAAGTTCTACATGTATGTCTAAGCAACAATTTAAATGGGAAAAATTATGTGCACAATTTATACATGTATTTCTTGCAACAAAAATGGAAATGGATTCAATTTCGACCATTTTCTTGACACCCAACACCCACAGCCGTCTTTTTTCTTTAACCCGATGTGGAAGACCCCCCCCCCCTACAATGCAGCGCAGCGCCTATTCTGTGGAATTATATTTCCTACGAAAAATGATATTTTCTTCTTCAAAATGTTAAGCTTGGTATTCAATTTAGGTGTATATAACGATTTTTTTAAGTTGATGATAAACTAACTGTTCAAAAAAACAGCAAAATACAAACTTTAAGAAAGTTTTGTTTCAGATTTACGTTCTGAATGATAACGTGCATTACATTTAAAACTATGCAACATTAACCAATTGCTCAAAATGGAAACATTCGATCATTTAATCACAATTCTACTTGTGAATAATATTATGTCAATTCAATTTTCAAATCACACGGATGCACAATACTAGTATATTGTGTAAAAAAAATTCACCTTTGCATGTGCACTTCCATTTGCATTTCTGCACTCTTGTTACAAAGAATAATGCCATGTTAAGAAACAGTGTATTTCTTCATGTTTTTAGTTTTTAAATCATTAAAATTCACTCGGCAATCTGTTCAAACAGCTTTAGAATTTAATTTTAATTTACTTTAAAACATGGTAACGTAAATATTTGTAACGTAAATATCGTAAATATCTTTCTGAGATTTATCGTAACTTTTTATGCTGTTGTTTAATTATTCCACTGTTAATTAAAGGCATATTCTAGTGCTTGAGTGTAAGGCAATTTGACCCATAGGAAACAGTGTAGTTCTCTTACTTAATTTGTGAATAAATACTAACACGTAAATATCGATGAATTTGTTAACCATTGGACTCATAAGAAAAGGGGGGCTATTTTTTATAAATACGGATAAACAGTGTCTTTTTTACCATTCCATGCAATAGAAGAGGTGTTCATAATGTTAAAAAGTTACAACTTTATCCTATTGAGTCAGTTCAGCAATCCTTCAAGTCCTTTTGAACTTCCAAATTAAAAAGTAATAATTTTGCGGTGACATCAAACTTTGATAAATATATTAAAATTTTTAAAAATTTGTGACACGCATATGTGTGAAGGGTGTGATATTCAGAAAATATAAATCAAATGCAGGGCAATCTTACTAAGAAAAAGATATGTAAGTGATTTAAAACTTCTTTTTGGTTTAAAATAAAAACTACACTGTGATCGGCGACAGTAACGTAAATATCGATTTCTGCTATAAAATGCGATTTTCAACTTAAACAATCATTCAAGTTACAACACACAATTGTTGTATTTTCATCAACATCCAACAATGGTTCATATGACTAGCAGAAAAAAAAATTTATTAGAAATTTTATATTACTTAAAACACGGTACATTATTTAAAGCGAATTGAAACTATAAATTGAGAATGCGTGATGTACACGTAATTTTAATACTGATTTCTGAAATAAATAAGTTCAAGCTCCTTTGCAGGGGTTTAACGTAATAATTTCTAACGGAATAACAGAGCTACATATTGTATTCTGGAAAAAATTATTTTCCTTGAATTTAGATTGAACTTAATACAGTGTATTTTGTGCGGACCTTGCCAGGCAACGACCTCAATATACTTTAAAATCCTACAAAAGTGATAGAAAATTTAAAAAAGAGTTTTAAATACTTGTAAGATATACAAATGGATAACTTTAATAGAATGCAATCGATTGTGAAACAAGGAACTATGCAATGAACCGTCACAATCACAAGGACATGACGTAACATAAGGTCTTTCGAAAAGTTTAAGAGGAACTGCCATCATAAACATGTTGCATTATATATTTCACTTAAATTTCCTACTATAATTCTGAAACAGGACACAAAATTAAAATCGACTTGAAGAAACAGGGTTAGAGTTCTTGTTACGTTAAGATAATGGTACACATAGAATCAAGAAAAAATGTTACAAGGAATAAAATCATTATCTTTCTCTAGCAAGGAAATTTAATCGTAAGAATTTTTGTGAAAGGGCAACTGAACGAAAAGTCATCACTGTTATTTCACTAATTTGAGTGTAATTATTTCTTCAAGCATGAAATAATTCAATAAAATTCCCTTAACTACATGTATCCTGTAGAATCTTACAATAAATTTCCATAAAAGATGTGGAAATAATGACTTACTTGTAATTTATTGATCAGAAAAAAACATGCACAGTCAGAGACATCAAAAAATAGAAAAAATCTAATCAAAAGAAGGTTTAATGTCTAAATGGAAGGGGAAGCTTTCTTTACCTAGGCGCCTGATCCCACCTCTAGAATTTTTATGGGTATGGTATACGTGTCTTATATGCCATGCTCCAAGATTTGTATTGTCAATTAACAATGATAATTTCCATTCCTGTGTCGATCCGATATATCCTGGTGAGCTTGAGATAAAAGATACCACAGAGTCTGACACATCTGTTTCATTCTTGAATATTTTACTTCAAAAAGACGTGACATGTAATGGTAATCTAACAACCAAGCTCTGTGATGAACATGATGACTTTAACTCTATTAAGCAGCAATATATACCTTCATCACCTGCATACGGAGTTTATATCTCTCAATTGATTCGCTACGCTTGAGCATGCTTTAGTATGATCAATTTCTAAAACGAGGTAAACTATTGACAAACAAGTTGATGAAACAAGAATATTAGCAGTCTCGTATAATGTCATCATCTTGTAAGTTCTGTGGACGATACAATGACCTTGTCAGCGAATATAATCCACCATTGAGTCAAATGCTGTCTGTTGTTTTTCATACTAATTGTAAGTCCATTATATTTACACTGAATTGACGACGGGTTTCCCCCGTTTTTTATCGATAATGACATGAGCGCACCGCGGATGTGACCGGTCGGCTGGGGATGCTCACTCCTCTATGGCACCTGATCATATACCTCTGATGTTTTGGAGGTCCGTGTTTGCTCTGCTCCTATTTTTATTGCTTTATGGACTTTGATATTGAATACTGTTCGTTATCTGTATATCCTCATTCTTCATCGATTCTTTTTAAATATTAGTCCATGTTTGTGATATTTACATTTTTTTTTTACAACTTTCAATTTTGATGTATTAAGAGGGGCAAATGTGTAATCCTTGAACTCGTAAATGTATATATTAATTCATCTATTTTTGTTGTTGTTGTTGTTAAATCGATGGGATACTAGTATTAGAAAATGATAGCAATATAAATCAAACAAAAAATTACTGCAGTATATGTACCGTATTTCAATTTAATTGTGTTATTGCGTGCAATTGTAAATTTAAGAAAAAATCCTTGAAACAGATGCTCGTAAAAATATCAAGTGACAATGTATATATATATATATATATATATATATATATATATATATATATATATATATATATATATATATATATATATATATATATATATATATATATATATATATAAAACTATCTAGTAGTATTTTTTTCTATTATCACTGCTTACAAATCGAAATGAAAGTAAGAGGAGTACTCATGCTTACTGTTCTGCCCGTTCTGTTCACACTGTATACAAAGTGCTATTCGAAAATCCACTTGATTTGGATCACTAGCTATATATTGATTTGGGTATCTCAATTTTTCTGCTTATATTTGTAGGGAAAAAAGCTATTTTTATACATTTTAAATACACATAATAAAACATTGTCACCCTATATTACTGAAGTTCTTTTTATATTTGACGTTTGTATGTTTTTTTCGTCTGCACCCGTTTTAAAATCCAAGTGGCACGCGTTTTTCATGATTCTTACGGTCACTTTTCAACTATTTATCCCTTTAAACGGACTACGGACACCATCAAGGTAAGATGTTTATTGTCATGCATTATTTGAATCTTCAAGAAGCATTTTCAATCGAATATGACCATTAGTTCTTCTATATACTTTCACAGTTACATAAAACTTGTACCTACAGCCGTTTTCGACGGCTATTCTATGTTTGCGTAGTAAATATTCAGGATGCTACATGTATCTTTGTTGTCATGACTGCTATACTATTTTCGCGTAGTTTAAACAGAATTCATCGAGTAATGAATAATTTAAGCTTATATGTCTGTCTGTCGGACAGTCAATCAAGTGAAAACAAGACATGAATAAATCATCCTATCCACTGTTTGCAATATTAAAAATGTCATAAAGTGAAATTCATTTTGTAAGGATTTTCAATAACAATTCGCAATAAAAATATGAAATATTTGTTGATTATTTGCAGGAATGGAGATCCAAGGTATATTGGGGTCCACTGATGAAAGTAGTGAAGAAGAAGGAAATAAAGAGGCAGAGACCAAAAAAGAGCAAAACAACAAAGAATTCAGATGCAATGAATGCAATTTCAAGACAAGGTGGAGGTCCAGCTTGTACCGGCACAGGAAGATTCACAGTAACTCTTTGCTACGTTGCGACCAGTGTGTTAGCAAATTTCAGAACCAATCCAAACTACAAGAACATATTCGTGCAATGCATGGTGATGGTCTCATTTGCTCCCATTGTTCAAATACTTTTCACAGTAGAAATGGGCTCCGCCAGCATATGAAAACAGTGTCAGGTGATTTTAAATATAAATGTGATATCTGTCACAAAACTTTTAACATGAAGAGCCATTTCACTGGTCACTTGAACACCCATAGAGGATACAAACCATATGAATGTCAAAAATGTAGAAAGGCATTTACGTACAAGTGCACAATGAAGGATCACATGGTTAACTGTGGTAAGAGTACATCTATCTCATGTAAGAGATGTGGAATAGAGGTGTCCAGTAAAGCCGCTTTAAAACACCATACAGAAGGTTATCACGGCAATGTAGTATACAGATGCAGTGAATGCTGTAAGTCGTATAACTGGACTGCGAGTTATTACAGACACATGAAGAAACACAACAAGTAAAAGTTTTCTACAAATGTTCAAAACATTGGTGAAATAAATTAGAATTTCATTTTAAAAATTTTCATTATTTTATTATATTTGGCAAATCAATGCCAGCTCTTATATGAGGTAATATTTTGGCCTCATTCAGTGTATATCTTTCAGCACGAACCCCTTTATTTCCCCGAGAGGGATTAAATGTATCACTTATATGTCCACTTTTCCTCTTTGGTCTTTTGGTTTTACGATCAGGAGTATCGAAGGCATGATCTCTGTAATCAAGAAAAAAAGTGCATCGCTCGATTCAATTGCTATGAGGAAGGTGGCAAAACATTAAACAGTTTAATGTATTATGTAAGTGAAAATGTTACCATGTTGCCCATAGAACATAATAAATGTAAAGATATGCAAAGTAATTGTATTTCTCAATAAGATACCATTTACTGTACCTCATTTCTATCGATTTAACACATCTAATTTCCTCTAATGTTGTTGGCATATTAGTTAACTTGCTGATGTTGACTCCCCGCTCGATACACGGTGGTATAGGATATACTCTAGCTGCTGATGTATGCATATTAAAACCTCTGCAAAAAGCGATGTCATCACAGTTTTAAATCTAAAACATTTTTCTGTGTAGTAACGTATTGAATGTAATAAAGTATAAACAAAACAAACGTATTACCTATCATCATCCAGTCTGGTTTTATATAAGTCACAAGCAGCATACAAGGCTTGCGACACCTCCTCTGCACGTAACATTCCAGTCCCTTTAGCATCCCAGTCCTGAAATGCTCCAAATAAGTTTTCAAGGTCTAGAGTTCCAATGCTGCGGGCGTTGTATGCACCACCAGTAAAAAGATACAGTTGAGCACGTCTGTCAATATGAATCATTAGACCCTCGAAGAGTGTAACAGGAATGTCTTTCACATATTTTCCAGGAGGAGGAAATACATCAAATCTTACGCCGTTAAGAAGCCATTCTCTCAAATCTCGTTCGTAAGATCTCCTTTCTAAACACGATAGACCTCCTTCATCCTGTGCTCGGTACCAATTACGCATCAGTCCACAAAACTGTGCTTCTTTTTTGTAACCATATGAATCCATTGCTGATTCTACTTCAGAGCTAAATGTTTTCATTGCGAAACCAACATTCTGTTTATCAACAAGGTTTTCTACTAAAGCAAGACTCAAATTGGAACCATTATCCTTGCTGAATTTTGCTGTCTTCAGCCATGCTTTTGGCGATATTCCTGCTGAGGGAAAACCGGTTGAACACACTTTTGATCTAGTATTCGTCAACAGATGTTCTGGGTCTAGAAAGTCTAAAATGTAATGAGAATCCTCCTCTATGAACTTTGGCTGACAATACCAAAATGGTGGATCTAGATGAGTTTCGTTGTCGTCTAATGAGCTCACTTTGCAGTCCTTTGTAAATGCTGCTTTTTCATTCCATTTTTGCAGTTCAACTTCATACTTAAATGATGCTTGAACCGCATTCAAAAACTGTTTTGGTAAGTTTGAGTAGATGAATGCCTTCACAATTGCACGCAGTGGCTTTGCATTTTGTCTTGTTTTTAAAACAAGCGATGATCCATCTCCAAATGAGCCAATGAATCTGTTAATGAGTTCGTATTTCTTCATGCTTCCAATCTTGCAGATGATATGAACCTTCAACTTTTCTTTAACTGGCTTCAAAATGTGCAATATTTCAGCCTTTGTTAATCGATTCATTGTTTCTGCATTTGAAAGGAAATTAATGAAAGTTTCCTTGACACAATCATTTCTTTTTGGCATTTCTATAAAGTTTTTCCACATTGAATGAAAGTCGTATTCATCAAGATTTCCTTTGTTTGTAATGTGCGAGTCACCACTTGAAGCTTGAATGCTCTGTGTTTCATTGTCTCTATCAGTTGCAATACTTGTACCAAGAGGAAGATTGTCAATAAATGTATCCATTACCTCACTTGTATCTAGTACTGGTTCCTGCACTCCATTGACTTGAAATACAGCAGTTGCTACAGTTTCAATTAATTCTGTCGCCGTGTCCAAGCTTTCAGATTGTTTTTCTTTCAATATTAACAGATCTCTCCAATTCAAAGGAGTTTTGTACGATGACTTTATGCCCAAAGGGAATCCAATGCTTATACTTTTGATTTTCTGATGCGAACTCTGCTCAACATGAATGTCAAAGTTGTTTTTTATGTCATCGAGCGATTGAAGACCCGGAATTCTCCCAAAGCATGCGAATTTTTGGACGAGTTCCTGCTTAGACAAACTACACGCAGACATCCATACATCCTTTGATAATTGCAGTAATGTTAATGGTTCATTGTTTTCACCTCGAACAGCCAATTTGTAAAATGCTCCATCAAAACATTCAGCTACCACATGAAGTCCATATTCTAGACATTTTCCTCTCACATCTCTCAGAATATTGGAAGCCTGCTGTGTAGTAAAACTGTAGCCTGTTAAGCCATAGGCAATTGGGCACGAATGTGGAAGCTCAGTTTTGTACATTCTATTGCAATCAGAAAACATCACTACCAAAACCTGTTTGGCAATATCTCGCATCAGGTTGTAAGATCTATTTAAGCAAAGGTGCGATTTGGAAAGTACAGACTGAATGTGATCTTTATCAAATACTGTTGAGGACTGCTTTGCCTCAGTATGATAAAGGTACAGATCGTTAACATCATGTATATTGACATTAGGGTGACTACATGCTTTCCCAGTCACTGATACAACTTCACAGAGGAGAGTAGAGCAACTATCTGTGAATTCTTTTATTTCTTTTTTGAGGTCCTTAAGTAGTGGATGGAGTCTTGATGGTCTCTTTGGTACTTCTTGTGCATACAAATCCAGCAAAATATTCCATGTCTTCTTCCAAAGTGAATGGGAGAATGAAACCTCCAAAACCGTGGTTGCTTTCGGCATCCAACATACAATGACTGCCTTCGTTACTTTTAAGGCATACATTTCCATCAGTACTTGCAATGCATAACGCTCTGGAAGGGTACGATACGGCCCTTTTAAAAATCCATCTGGATGTGGACATTTGATTTCAACTGCCATTTCTGGTGTCCCATTGTTTCGGAGACTTCCGTCTGGACTGACGACACAAAACGGTTCTCTATTATGATGAACGACGTAGCAGCCCTCTTCATGGAAGTGTAGCTTTGGATAAAATGTTGGCAGCACAACTGAAACAAGTGTTGCAATTCCATTGATTTCGTTCTCTACACCATGGCGCATTCTTTCCTGAACTTCCTCAGACGTTATCGGTTTATGTTTACCCCTAAACTTTTCGTCATAAAACTGTTGTTGTTCTTTAAGTGTCTCGAGACCTATTGCCTTGTAAATGATACTCCCTGTAACTTGAGCTTTGGAACGAACATCAAACCATATTTTAGATCGTTGCTTTCTATACCTACAATAGACATGAAGCGGTAGATTTCCATCGTCTATCATTGTTTGATCCATTCCTGCAAGACAAACGTAATTGCTAAGTGAATCCATATGAATGGAATTGTTCAAGGGAAATACAAATCCTTGCGACATTGCTCCAATTTTAAGCAAGTCCTTGATTGTAAGCGATAAATCTGTCATGGTGGATTGGATCTCATGCATAGATGTTTGTATACTACTAAGAGCATATGCCATTTTTGATTCTTTCCAATTTGGTCCTGACTCCTGTTTTAGTTTGTCAAATGCATATACTCGTTTGGTGTTCAGTTCCCTTAAATCTTGCATTCTGCCACTCAGGTTCTTTACAATATCTCCATCGTCCTTTCCAAACTCATTCATTGCACTAATTTTCTCGAAATTATTTGAGTCAATTTTGTTGATAAGAACCTCGATGCTACTTTTTTCACTATTGAATCGAGCCAACCGATCCTCGAGATTTGGTTTGTTCTCATGACCCCAACAGTTTACATCACCAAATTTTCCTCCTGCATTCAGCTTTTTTAAATCCAAGCTTAATTTGAAAGGTGTTTGAAAAGAATTTTGCGTTTTCAAAGCAATGGCCTCCATTAGAGTTGTCATTATCCCAGGGGATTTGCAATTTTCCTTAAGGACTACATCACTCTCACCCAAAATCTCCATGCCCGGGACGATGAAATTCACTGAAGACTAAGAAGTTTCCAACTCTCCGATTTCAGATACACCTGTGCCTAGCTGGCCTTTATTCTTCAAACCAGACATAAACCGTATAAACTTTCCTTTAAAAAGCTGTTTTCCAGTTCGCCAAAACTTTTTGACAGTATCATCATATCTCATTGAACATGGAATCTCTTTTGAAAACCAAAATACAACATCAAGAAATAGTTTATAAGCGATGTTTGTCAATGGAAGACGATTATTTGCCAAAGCTTTGAAAATTGATAACCAGGCTGGTAATTGGTTATGTGCATTCAAATACTGGATTGCCGCTGGTAGATAAGTTGCAACAGTTTGCAGGAATTCTGTTTCATTCTGTGATAAAGACTGACAATTGATGATACAGGTTTCACTAGTCTGTGTATAAAATGACTTTGTGAGTGTTTCGCTTATTTTACATTTCTTTACTGGAGGCAACTCTATTGACGCTTCAATGTCAGTAATACGAATAGCTTCAGTCTTTTCAATTGGAATGATAGTTTTACCTGAATCAAAAATTTCCTTGGGTTTAATGCCAAATTTCAGCTTTTTAAACTTATTTAATTCTGATTCTGCTTTCTTTATCAAAATGGTGAGTTCTGATGTTTGATGATAGTTCGATGAATGATAAATTATTTCGCTGAAGGACGGGGATGTTATATAAGTACTACATTTGAATCTCTCCATTATCTAGAAATCGAAAAGAAAATCAACTGTAATATACCGAGCAAAAGCACAAGGTGCAAATCAAGCATAGCATTTTAGTATCAACGCGACTCAAGAATAACAAAAACTCAAAACAAGAATCGCATGAACATCAGCAATGATAACCAATTTAACCTTATTCTTTTATTGAAGAACATCTGTTATAGTTTTTTTTTCTTTCAGCTAATAAATGTTTAACTTATGATTATATATGAATGAATTTGTTTCAGATATTTCAATCATATCAATGTGAAAAACAAATAAATTTCCATTTCATGTCATTCTGGAGAAATACCCGAAAAAAGTATAGCAATCGGGAAAAAATGATGCAAACATAGTATAGCATTCACTCAAACAAAGAATAGCTTACTTTCTAGAAATGGCATATGTAGTCCAAATTAGCTATGATTCCTAGCGGAAATTCCATAAAAATAAATGTGTATACAAACTTTTTTGTTATAAAACATATTTAAAAACATGAAGTAGTACATTTAACGAAATATGGCAAAAACATGAAAATCCTTTAACAACTCTATTAATGGAATAATATTAAAATCTGGAAGGTTCCTATTAAAAAATATACACATATGAATAAGTTTGCAGTGATTTCAATCTTTCCATGATTAGTTAAAATTACCTTTCCCCCATATTTTGCCTGTCGGATCTTCTTGGAGTGTCTTAATACCCACAATACATCAGGGTACCCAAATCAATATAGCTAGTGATCCAAATCAAGTGGATTTTCGATTAGCACTTTGTATACAGTGGTTCATTCCTCTTGCTGAAGCTAATAGCTGTAAATCAAATTCAGAAGGTAGTTGTGGAAGAAATGATTACAGAACAGGTTAGTTTCATATTTTTTACTTGTTGGCCATCGTGTTAAATTATGACGATATAAGATTCTTGAATGAATGTAAGAAAAAGGCAATTTTTCCTACATTAAAAAAAATGTCATTAAAAATGATGGTTTAAATTAAAGGATTTTTTATTGTGATTATTTAGTGTACCAAATACCAGTGAGTATGCCCTAATGTTACCTTAATTTTCTATGTTTTATAGTAAAGAAGCATCATAATATAACTGGAAAACATGTTTTTATAAATTGAAATCTGTAGGCACCGTTCATTTACTTGATGTTACTCTTAACGGAATAAAATTCTTATACTTTTTAAGCGGTTAGCTTCGCTAACCGCTTTATGGCATGGGTCCGATTTTTCTCGACACCGGAAACTTCCATAAGGCGCTACCTATCGACAACGGAAACTTCAACAAAGCCTCTACCTATATATAGTACCTATGATTTGTTTCTAACACATATAACATATGTTAAATAAAATCAAGACTATCAAAACAACATAATCTTTCGGTTTTTTATTTTTTTTCTGATTTTGTTTGTCAATGAAATAAATTCATAATTGTTGTATGAAAAAAAGTTTATGTATAGGAGCATTTGGTGTCGAGATTAAATTTCCGTGACATCAGCTGATGGCGATCGGGCCCTGTGACGAAATTCAAAGTCGGCATGAAGTTTAGCTGATAACATTATCAACGCGTTAGATTTAAACTTTAGGAAGAAATGTATAGCGAGAAATATCATATTTGAACCCAATGCTACACGAAAACCAGTAGGCATTTCCGATTTATGTGTTAAACTGAAGCCTGAATCGAACAGGTGGTCAAAATGGCGTTGGACACCTTGTGTATTTATATATAGAGGGGGTAGAATGTTTCGATATTTGGCTAATTTAGAGACTTACTGATAAAAATTCAGGTGCCTGTGATTAATTATAAGGCACTCCTCATAAACAATAAATATTTGGCCGAATTATGCTACTGGGCACAGGGAGGACGGGTTAATTACTGGCTAAAGGGGTTGAAGGTTATTACCGACTGCAAAACATCGGAGAATCTCTCGATCGAGTTTCATTTTCCAAAAAATTAATGCATCCCTTTAATTAACTTAAGTAATACTAGTACACATAGAAAGCCTTTATATAAAAATACTGAATACATCTGTAAGTTGTACAGTTATGGATTACTTCCATAATGAAACGTTTGTTTTCTTCTCCTTTTTTTCTCAATTGAAATTATTTAAAAGATGATAAAAACTTTGTTTCCAGGGATAAATTCTATACTCAGTCTAATTATTACAAACGATTTTAAACGATCACATTTTTATTTAAAAAAAAAATAATGGGAGCCTGAAAATACTAAAATTAATTTTAAAAAATTGGAGAGAAAAATTTAATCGGCATTCGATCCTTTTCTAAAAATCAGCCGATATAAAATATGCACAGAAAAAAGAGGCATGAAAAATCTTAACGATAAGCACAAATTGAAAATTATATCTAATGAATGATTATTTTTGAAAGTTTGCTAAATTCCTATGCAAGGTATAAGTTGTAAAAATACTTTATAAATTTGAATTTGTCCAATTTGTTAATTATCATTTTGAGCCTTTGAGAAGAAATAAAAATTAAAGTACAGATGCTTACAGACATATTGATAGAAATTAGCATACTTGTTTTTAGTAAAAAAAAAAAAAAAACAACAACAATGTATTGCTTATGCGACATATTGAAGAAAGTGACAATGATACCTAGGTTCTGTAATTCTTGCAATGGACAATTAAATTGTTTGTTATACACTGACTTTTAGTGAACCTTTGAATTTTTAAAATACTAGTATTGGTGGATTAAACAACAACTTTCCTTTTCACACGTTTTATATATATATATATATACACATATATATATATATATATATATATATATATATATATATATATATATATATATATATATATATATATATATATATATATACAATATTTCATGAAAAATATTTGCCAAATACTCAGTATATGTTCGTTTATACATATCGTGCAAGACTCTTTTTTAAATAATTGTCATATACCATTTACTTATTCGAACATTTAATTGTATGAAAAGTCAATAATGTACATTTCTTAAAACTTTATTATCTTGTTTACTTGCCTTTCTTCCTGTGAGAGAAATAGTTCATAATATTAATAAACAGATATACTCAGTATCTGTATAAAAATACAGAATGAACAGTGATCAGTCTCAAAAGAAAAAACGGATCCTTGAAAGTTCCGGTGCCTAGGAGAAGTAAGCATCCCCAATGACAGGTCACACCTGCTAACCCGCAGTGAGCCTCCGAAACTGCATCTTCGCTAGCCAAGGGTTTTCAGTCCGCAACGCTCCCCATAAACCCTTGGCCGATATGCACTGTAAAACGCCGGTCATTTTTCATTGGAGAGTTGTAGCCGACCGTGGACCAATGAAATAACTGTTTTCAATTTACGTCCTAGAACTTTTGAGAAGTTTTCGAGGAAACTCTAACACATGTGTAAACCCGTTTTTGTTCCTATGAACACACCACGTCTGTCCATTAAAGCATATATCGCTTCTTGTTGGAAAGAATTTAATTTTTGTATTCCAAATGCTGTTTCAATGGAAGTCGCCATATTGTGTATAATTTTCTACCGAAACATACATAAAAGCTATCATTTCATTGGCTGTTTGCTTCAACCAGAATTATCGTTCTTTCTGAAGAACTTATAGATGGCGCTATGTGTGACCGGCGTTTTATAGTGCATATCGGCCAAGGGTTTATGGGGAGCGTTGCGGACCGAAAACCCTTGGCTAGCGAAGATGCCGAAACTGAAGCTCTCTGAAATTAATTAATTCTCTGCTCGTCCATCCGTTTTTCTCAGACTAGCCAGCTAAAGATCTATGTACAGTACTCCAAATCAATTAAGCTAAAGAATTTGAATTATCATTTTATTTTATTTTCGAGTTGTTTGCTATAGTAGCCTTTACAGTTACCTAATTTCAGAATCAATAGAGCATGAAAGCCAATTAAATTTGCAACATCAACATAATTTTTTTTTCGTTCTGAGCACTTTTGGACGCCACCATTGGAGACAATTAGGGAGAAATTTTTGAAATTGAACTTCCTGTCTTTCAAACTGAAAATCTCAGGTTGATATTTTGAAACAAACATTTGTGACATCAGTCTGGGATGTTATTGGTTATACCATTTAGTTAAGTACTACAAAATTCAGTGTGTCTGCTTCTTCGCTGATGACACTGGAAAAAGATATGCATGCCTACTTTAATATCATCATTCAATGCATTTTTTGTTATTTTACACTGTACATATTCGATGAAAGCATGCTAACCGCTTTTCAGTACTTTCAGTACTTTGATTTTTTAATGGCATCAAAATGTCTTACCGAGAAAAAATACACACCAAAACAAATTGGTGTATACTATTGAAATGAACCGAGGTGCTATAAAATTGGTCAAACCAAATATCTATGAAATACTACATGTACAATACGTGAGCTTTTCTCTGAATACTATTTGAATAGCCTTTTTACATGTTCCCTTAGAACAAGAGAAATCCAGTGTGGCCTTTTACTCATTCATCTCGAAGAACTTTGCGCTCCCGCCTGCTGGCAGGATGTTTGTCTATGACGTAGTGGTAACTAACAAAGGGAATGGGTACAGCAAGAAAACAGGTGTTTTCACTGCCCCTAGATCAGGGGTGTATGCATTTTCCTGGACGCTTGTTGCTGCTGGACGACATGTTGCAGGAACCAAGGGTGCTTTCGGGGAAACAGCGACTCATATACTGCAGAATGATGTAATAAAAGGTACTCTTCATGCTGATACGGAAAAATACGGGGATGCTGGAACATCGACAGGATTTGTTATACTTAACCTGGAAAAGGATGACGATATCAAAATATCTAGTGCCAGCTGGAACGGACAAGGATCTGCTTATAGCAATGAAAATTATGGCAGATGGTCATTCTCTGGTTTTAAAATAACTTAGTATTGTAGCTTTACTGAACAAAAAGTTCTCCAATAAAACTATGATTTGAAGAATCACTGCGTTTTATGAATATAATGTCTTGAAAATCCATCACTAAATGCCAATTGTGTTTTAAAGTTCCATGTATAAAAAGCAACACACGAGTGACATCACAACCAAGTTCATGTATTTACTATTACTTAACAATATTAAATAATCCTGTGAGTTATTTATACATTACTGCTTACATTTGCAATAGGAATAGTCGAACTTAATATCTAAATACACTGTAACATATAATACTATAGTAATCAGATTTCCACTGGTTATGATAATGTTTACACATAAGTCTTAGAATAAATTGGTAACTTAAACTGCTTTATAAATTAAACATGTTAAAGTTAAGAATAGATCTATAACATGTATATGCCAGGTTATCCCAGTATATCCATCCACTTGCCACAATATCTTCTTTGTAAAAATCTTCTTACATTTTATGCAGCAGTGAGCCAACATGGCCAAACATAACTGACAGTTTCCTCAGACCTGCAGATAATACTAATCACCATCTTCTCATCACATGGGACTGATGTTGAGTTGATACACGTTTATTTATTTATTGCTACAAAGGCGTGGTTCTTGGAACATTTTACGCAGTACGCCATACCATCTTTTTATGACAGATGATGTAATTGTGTCCCGGTATTACAAACCTCCTTTTTGTTTTCATTTGAAGCGCAGAATTTGTCCAAAATTGTATGCTTGAAAAGAAGAGAACACTTCATGTGGCCTTCAGCTCAGCATTTAGTCAATTAACATAATAAACAATGGTACATGTAATTTCCATTCCTATGTCGATACGATAAATCCTGGTGAACTTGAGATAAAAGATACGACCGAGTCTGATACATCTGTTTCATAGTTGGATATTTATTGATGTTTAAGGAATCACTATCTAGTTGAAAATATGGAATCATTTTTGCATTCTTGGCGAATGTTTCCAGCTATCGTTTATGCCCTAGTATACCAAACAAACTACACAGTAATTCCTTGAATAATCATTCAACAGAAAGGCTTATTGGACCGAAAGCGTCTTTCTACAAAAACCTGGTTCCCCGAACTCTTTTTATAAAACAGCCACATATTTAATTTAAACATTAAAATAATCCTCTTTTTCACAAAAACCCTCTTTTGAAAATCCTTCTAGGGGAGTTTGTGTTTTAAGAATACATACTTTTCCAAAGACAATATAAAACTTTTACAGCATCAATATGTCCTTTTTGTTTTAGTCTAACCTAGCATCACAAAAAAAAATCTATCCTTTATAAACTCTGATCAGTCACAAATCCCATTCAAATATATATGAAAATCCAAATTCTTCCCATGAACAATATAACAATATATTTGTAATTTGGCTCCAAAAAAGACAACTAAAGATATATATAACAAAAAAAATATTTATTTAAAACATCACATTCTATTACAGATATTGTAGTGATATCTGAAATGATATACATCACCTACGATGGGATTACAAGAAATGCTTTTTATCATATTTTCACTTAGATTAATATTTGAATGCTTGGAATCTTCTTGAGATTACTATATATAAAGTAAAGGAAGGTACATGTAGTAGTATAGATGTACATGTACCTTGAAGCAAGCAGCTCACTTATTTAAAAGCTTTAAGACTTAGTATAATTTTTTAAAATATTGAAATCCTGTAAACAACTTTGACTTGGATTGCTTTCACAATTGATAATTAATTGTTAAAAATGATGTTCTTTTCATGTGGTCTGAAAATATGACTTAACCTCAACTAATTTCAAACCTTTGCTTTCATTCTATGAAATTACAATTTAATTTTTTTTTTTTAAATATAAATTTACTAGCATAAAAAAACAAGAGGCCCACGGGCCTTATAGGTCACCTGAGCATTATGCAACAACTTTCCAGTTATTGAATTTGATTCATGTTTTAAGCCAGATGCTATATGGCATTCACAATTTTGAAAGAGGCACCATTGATCATCATAACAATACACTTAGCAGTTGCTTAGCTTGGTTACTGAATACCCATACGCAGGGTAGGGGAACAATATTGCATTTCAACTAATCAGTAATATTCAGCAATAATCAGAAGTGCCCCTAACACTGTGACATAAACCCCTGACCCTAGGTCCACACATTGCACAAATTTTTTAAAGGCACCCTTAAAATTGCCTATCCAAAAAAAAAATGTTATATAAATATAAAGGAGCAGATTTCAAACAATTAATTCATTTTCAGTATATAAGTAGAGCCCCCCCCCCCCACCCCCACCCCTGACCCTGGGGCCTTGAATTCACAATTCTGCAAGAGTAGGGCCCTTGCTCATCATAACTATAAAAGTAGTTCATCTGCTTCATACCCAGAGACAGAGAAGAAAATTTTCAAAGATTTAATGCATTTTCACTATATAATCAATAGAGCCTCGCCCTAACATCAGAGCCCCTGACCCTGGGGCCATGAAATTCACAATTTTGGAAGAGATATTCTTGCTCATCATAACTATGTACTTGGTTAGTTTGTAAATATCCAGGAGAAGAGAAAGGGATTTTCAAGAAGTCATGCATTTTCACTATATAATCAACAGAGCCCCCCCCCACACCAGAACCCTTGACCCTGGGGCCATAAAATTCATAATTTTGGTTGAGGCACTCTTGCTTATCATAACTATGCACTTAATTAGTTTATTTGATACCTAGGAGCAGAGAAGAAGATTTTCAAAGAATTCATGTATTTTCACTATATAATCAATAGAGCCCCCCCCCCCTTACACCAGAACCCTTGACCCTGGGGCTATAAAATTCACAATTTGGGTAAAAGCACTCTTGCTCATCATAACTATGCACTTAGTTAGTTTATTTAATACAAAGGGGCAGAGAAGAAGATTTTCAAAGAAATCATGTATTTTCACTGTATATAATCAATACAGCCCCACCCTAACACCAGAACCCCTGACCCTGGGGCCATAAAATTCACAATTTTGGTAGAGGCACTCTTGCTCATCATAACTATGTACTTAGTTGGTTTATTTAATACCCAGGAGCAGAGAAGAAGATTTTCAAAGAAATAATGCATTTTCACTATATACTTATTTAGCCCCGCCTTAGCACTAGAACCCCTGACCCCAGGGCCATGAATTTCACAGTTTTGGTAGAGGACTCAATGCTGATTACAATCATGCAAACAGTTTGACTGCTTGATGTCCAGGAGTAAAGAAGAAGATTTTTAAAGATTGCATTAATTTTAGTGGTTTTGGCCCCACCCCTCAAGCCCCAGGGGGGCAGGGATCATGAAATTCACAATTTTTGTTCCCCTTCACCCATAGATGCTTTGTGCCAAATTTGGTTGAAATTGGTTCAGTGGTTGCAGAGAAGAAGCTGAAAATGTTCAAATGTTAACACACGACGCACGACGACGGACGAAAACGGATAGCAATAGGTCTCCTGAGTTTACTCAGGTGACCTAAAAATTGATGGGTCATTCCACTGGTATACAGTACAGCTTTTATTTATAACAACAAAATCATGCAATGTGATATCATATGGGTATAAACTTCTCATTTCGAGCAAGCATTCAGTCTTACAAAACACAACCAATTAATGAATACATGTACATATGTACAATAAAAATATGTACACTGTACATGTATATACACATCACTTCATAATGAATTATCATTTTTAACAGATCTTGATTAAAATAACATATTCACAATAATACAGTTTTCTTTCACCAATACTACCATGACATTCATAAATCTCTCAAATAAACAATATTTAATGCATACATATTTATGATACTATAAAATCAAGAAAAAATACATATAGCATAATGTTTTCATCAGGATCAATATCCGAGAAATGTTAAACATGATCACTGTTTGAATTGGTTTGAGAGTCTACAAAGTGAATTAAATGGATGCCTTTGACAATTCAGATTTATACATTTTCTCAGTAAATATTGCACGAAAATAAAAACAGAAACTTTGCAGAATAAATGTTTCACTTTGACAGAGCTTCCACAGACTTTAAAGCAAATATATTACAAACATTAACAAAGGTTTTAAAATTTATTTAAAATGACATTTACATTACTTATACCCTGGATAGCCCTGGGCGGGTTTGGGGTAACTACCGTATCCTCCCGGCCCTCCCCCTCTGGAGAAGGGGTTAGGCTGACCCCCGGGGGTGGGTCCAGCACCACTGGGTGGGGCACCTCCTGGTTGTGGCTGACCGGCATATCCTCCCTGATACATTCCCTGGACAAACAATCAGTCATTTTTATTAAGGAAGTTTTATTATTACAGTATAGTCATGTTAATCATTATAGTTAGTTTTTTTTTTATTTTACCAAATCATCATTACACATTTTGGAAGAATATATTTCTTGACTCCAGTCACAAGTGCAAACTTCTATTTTTTACAATATGAAGCGAACTACAATGAATGCATACTACAGGTTCATAAACACTGAGCATGGATTATCCATACACAAGGTATAAACTCTATATTACCTGTTGTTGTTGATTCCACTGTGCTGATGATGATGTTGGAGGCATTTGACCTTGACCAGGGTGAGGCATGCCTTGTCCTCCATACTGTCCGTAACCATAGCTACCAGCACCTTGTTGTGGGGGGAACCCTGGCTGTCCGGGGGGTACCCCCTGTGATTGTGGGGGTCCTTGAGACAGGCCCTGCTGTTGGCCTTGAGGCATACCTGGCTGGCCTTGAGGCATTCCTGGTTGGCCTTGAGGCATGCCTTGACCTGGTGCCATGCCCTGAGAGGGCTGGCCTGGGGACATTCCTTGAGTCATGGGGCTGGGTTGTCTGTCAGGTTGGGAGGTGGCAGGGCTCTGAAAGGGTCTCTGCTGTGGACCAGATTGTGATGGGGGAGCAGGTTGTTGGGGTCCACCAGGGAAGCCTGAGTTAACAGAAAGGGTCAATGAATATTTCAAATGTGCAAGTATATAAACCCCATAGATCTCTTTAAAGTAGGTTTCTTAGAAAATAAATTTCAAAACTTGCTTTTTTCCTTCATGTAAGATATTTGTTACATGTACATGTATATACAGACTAGGTGCTGGGAAATAAACCATACAGCTACTGTAAATAAAAAGAGGGGGATTCAGACCTTAAAAGAGGTAGACTTGTGCATGGTGTTTTACACTTCCAAGTTTTAGATACATGTATGTACAGTATGTAGATATTGCCTCAGAAGACTAGTACTCACTACTGCAGTATATGAAATAAAATTTCAAGTGTTATTAAGTGCAAGAAAACACCGTCTACATAAATTATTTAGATAGATATTTTTCATGCACATAAATAACAAGTATTGGGTCAGTGGCTGTTTTAACCCTTTGAAGATGATGTAGCCTGAACCATTAATTGTCAGTATTCATTTGTCAAATAAAGCAAAAGATCTAAAATTTTTTTTGTATCTCGTTACAAAAATTTGGATTTCCCAGGACAATGCAAGCAAAAGAAAAAATGCAAAAAAGTATTTAATGAATCCTGATTCCCTTTTTCACTTCGATAAAAGAAGTCAAACATGTGCACCAGTCATTGTCAGAAAAGTATGCTTAAAAATTTTAATTCAGGTTAACTTCAGTATGAAAAAGCGTTTTTATGTTCCCATGCAGTTCAAATCATGCGAGATCTCCAACGAGATTTTATGACTGAGTGGCTTCATAAATGCTTACCCAATCGAACTAAAACAGATTTAAATTTGCAGAAAAAGCAGTAATCTTTTTTAAAGCCATAATAGGTGGGAGATATAGTTAAGAAGTGGTAGACATCTACCTAATGCATTAAACTTAACATGTATGAATAAACCAAACATATTTCATCTCATATTTTTAAGTTGGTTTAAAAGAGGTTTAATTTGAACTTGCATATAGACAGCAGCACTATCTTATTTATTAAATTTTTTACGCACTGATACAACAGAATTACTTACTTATGGTACAATTCTCATTGTCTGTTCAAAATCAATTTTAAAATAATTTATTTCTATCCCTTACTATTTTGAATTACAAGTATTTGACACCAAAGAAATACCAAACAATTACACATGAGATAGTTTTCGACTGGCCAGAATTTAGCAATATTTTCTTCCAGTTGGCCGCCATATTGGAGGTTGACTTAGTGATTTTTCCTCTTTGTCTTAATACCAAGTTTAAGAGAATGTAGCAGATATATATTTAGATAAAGGAGGCTTCCAAACATTTATATACTTCAGAAAAAATAATGATTCCTAATTCAAAATAGCAAATATAAAAATTTAAAATTGGTTGAAAAATGACTTCAAGGAATATCATCAATATGAGCATTTGGACCTCCAATATGGCGACCAATGGGAAATAACTCTGCTAAATTTTGGCCAGTGGAAAACTATCTATGCAGACAATTTCAGTCAAATGAAATAATTGAAAGACACAGGATTGACTCCACCTGGATTAGAGTACTATACCTGGGGCCTGCTGGCCATAACCTGGTTGCTGCCCCTGATAACCTGTGGGTTGCTGAGGTTGCTGGCTATAGTTTGGTTGACCGGGGTGTTGCTGTGGGGTGACCACACGGGGCTGGCTCTGAACTGGCTGGGGGGACACAAAAGCTGAGGGGTGGGAGACGGGGGTGGCAGGGGAAGGGGAGGGCTGGATATTGTGTTTATTGGCTGAGCCTATACTGGAGATACTGTCAGGGGTGCCAGATCTCTCCTGTCCTACATTAAGAAAAAACAAACTTTGAATTACTAAATCAGCAATAAATGTATTTAAGAACACAAATTTTTATATATTCACCTAGAATGTCCTTGGAACAATAAGTAAATGCAAGCTTGACCATGCATTTTGATTATTACATACATTTTCTGCACACATAACATTCATTTACATGTAGATTTTAAACTTTAGTTATCAATTTATTAATGAAAAAGTAAATTAAGGTACCTAACCATATTTAATTGTCAGATTAATTATCACCTCAAAATAATCTGTCCTTTTACTAGGAGAATGCTGAGACAGTTGAATTATTTTCACTGATCTTACCACTCATTCCAAATGAGGACATGACTTTACTGGGATTATTTTCCTCCACTGACTTTTGACTGGAGTAGGGATCAAACTCCTTACTGTGGGACACATCCCGGGGCTGACTAGAGGTGGGATGCTCTACCCGACGATTGCTCTCTGACACAACCATCGGTTCATCTAATGAGAGGAAATCATCAAGTTACAGTAACATGGCTTTTATAAAACTGAAATGTGCTATAACCATTCCTCTAAGTTCAATTTAATTTATATCAAAACCTTACCTATTCCTTTGTTAAACCCATACATAATACTTTAATATATTCCTGATACTGTGTAAGGCTATTTTAAAAGGCTACATGTAATACATCAAGGATTTTAAAAAATCTTCCCTGTTCTCCCTCATCAACTGTCTTTTTCAAAAATGAACTGAATTCCTAATTTAAATCTCTTTTTAAAATTTCTCTTTTAAATTTCTTTTTAAAGGCAGAGATTTTTTACCGGGTGGTAAATTCCAGGTGAGGGAGGGGCTTATTTTGTACAGGTGTGAATGCCTTGGGGGCTAGCAGTCTACCTGTGGTCATCTGTCTCCTAATCCCTATACACAGGAAGTGATTTAATACACGGTGAAATACTCAGATGTCAAACTTTACCTGTGTTGGGAATTTTGAAACAATTTTAAAATTAGTAGTAAAAAGTTTTTTTTCAATTATATATTGATTTATTTTTGATTGTTTGAAAACGCCCCTACTTATTTAAAAAAATATATTATGATATCATACTATGAATTCAAATATTAAAACAAAAACTGTTTAAGATGTTATTGTACGTGTTAATTTAAAGAAAACAACTCTTGTAACAACCAAATTAGACTAATAATTCATTCATCCCCGGATCCCATCTATTTATTTAATGAAAGAGAGCTGTGTGATCTACATTTCACAAAAGAGTTATGCACTGCAGACATGTAGGTCTACCATGGCTTTGTCACCATGAAACATGGTAAAGAAGATTACTTGTAAACTCTTATCAGAATTAAAAGGGAAAATGCAAGTTAGCCATGATTAGAAACATTTTTTTTTAATTTAATTACTTCACACAGTGCTGCTCTGAACTTTATTAATAACATTTCCACTTTAAAATTATACCATTTAACATATTAAAAATAAAATGGAAATTTCATTTTAAAAAAAATTTTATGTACCAAAAGTTAATTTTTTGTTTTAAAAATACATTTCATATTATTATCCTTTCAAATAGGTATATTTAATTCATAAATTATCAATCTAAAAAAAAAAAATCACAGTAATTCTGTATACCATGTTCAGTAAAATCAAAGGATCAAAAGTTAATTAGATGGTCACAACGAGTGTACAGGGTATACACAGGGACCAGTAAGTAACTGTCAATCAAGTTCCAGCATCCAATGATGGACCTTCACATACTTGATTGACAGGGCTACCCAGACCAGGTATTTTTGAAGGCGGTGCTTAAAATTTCTGCCTTTAAAGGTATGCAGAATTTATTTATAAGATAACTGCCCAGTTATCTACCTTTAGCAGCAGGTGCCCTTTTGCTGTCTACTGAGCTGGTGATTTCCTGTTCTCCTATCTCCATCTGATCTAGGAGCTGTGTGACCCTGTCTCGTATCTGTCGGAGTTCCCTCCTAACAGTAGACAGCTGGGGGTTAGTTCCTGAGGAGACGGGACTATGTCCATTTACTGAAACAAAAACAGATATAACATTTACCTATAATAATTTCAAATTTGTCAGTGGTTTGTAATTATGCAAATCTTTTATTTCTTTTCATTTTTTATTTTTTTCAATGACAGTGACTACAAATTTAAAAGCATTTCCGACACTTACCAAATAAGGTTATTTTAAGAATTCTGCTGCACTGTATGGCAAAGGACAGATCAGAGTCATCAAATATGGTCACCAGATCTTGATCTGCAGACAAACACAAGAAAAATTGATTTCTCAACGATGGTATTGTAAATCAGCAAAAAACTTGACCAGTGATCACAAACAACGCATGAGAAGAAATTATTCCCTAACTTTAAGTTATGTACCTTCATCTTTATATTTGATTAAAATGTCATCATCATTGTTAAGTTTTCCTCTGAACACTCTCTGCATCATCAGCACTAACTCGTCGTAGGTAATGTCCTCATTGTGTATCGGGATTCTTCTGATGTCATCCCCCAGCTGGACTTTTATTATTAACTTCCCACTCAAGTCCATTCTGATTTCTGTCTGCATAAAAGCACATATGAAAAACATAAATCTTAAACTACGTTAAAGTTAAAAAAGGAACAGGTCCATAGGTAGCTTAGAGTCACATGTGGCGTATTTCTGATAAGTTCAGAGTTCAGACTTACTGAAATTAAAAGGATGATTAGATCTTTCTATTTGTTTTGATCCTGTAAATTACACAATTTTAATTAATCGCCTTTCATAGATATCAGAGATTTAAAGCAATAACCGATTTATTTCTGACTAAAATCAATATGGTTGAAGTATGTCTTTTAGAAACAAAAAACTGGTATAGGATTCCTTCAACCAAGATGAAGTAAGTTTTTAATGCATACTGTCTTTTGTGTATTTTTAGAAATCTATACACTGTTAATGTTATCAAATACACATTCTTCAGGGAAGTTTAAACATACACAATATGCTTGTGTTTTCCCTGCATGAACCACAACCCCTAGACTGTTAGAATTGATCTTAAACCCTTTTCTTTCAAAAAAGGGGAAACACTACAGTTACTGTCTTGAAAAATAAGTGATACTATGAGACTCATGGGAATGGTAAAAAAAGAGGATTGCCAAACCCACTATCAGGTTTTGCCCAAAAGCCCAGATATAACTTATATTTTGACACAGTTATCATGAATTTTGCTTACCCTGCAATATAATTTTTTATTTGACCTCTAAAAATAGGGAATAACTATCTTCTAATTTGGTACTTGCAACCGTTAATGCTGATTTAACGGTCACAAACTGAGTTTTACCGGCGACGCTTATGCGTCGCCGGTAAAACAGATGTTTGCGACCGTTAAATCAGCATTAACGGTCGCAAATACCAAATTAGAAGATCAATTATTCCCATTCTAATGCAATCCATACATTTTGTTTGTTGTTTACGTCTTATTTTGTCGAATTTTGTTATATAAAATACGTCACGGGGCATTGTGTTTTTGCGTCGCTCTATTATGACGTCACAATGTAAAGTTTTCACTCTCGTTAATGTTTGTTTTACTGCTTCAAACACCAGTGCATTAGCCAATCGAAACGTGTTTTACAAAACAACTGCATTAGAATGAGCTTTTTACAACAAATAAATGCATAATTCTGCATTTAACCCTTTCGACGCCAAATACACTGTGACCTTACGACTATAACGTCAAGGATGCCGTACTATGATGTCAACTAAGACGTAAAACAGTTGCGTCAGAAAAAAAGCGTCAATTAAATTGATAATGAAAAAGCACCTGTTTAACCAAGGTAAAAGGATGTAAGGAAAATGCTTATAAAAGAATCATATTTATTCCAATAATTCTAATATCAGTACAATAAAGTAAGCAAACATTAATCCTATAGCTAGCAATTGCAAGGAAAGACTAATAATAGAACGAAGGAGACCCCAACTCTTTTTTAAAATAATATTTATACTAAATGTTATTAATTCATAACTGCCATATACGAGAAAACGGACCCTCATATAACCTTTACTTTTAAATATATAATTTATCTCATTTTTCCAGAATTTGATGAGCATTTTAATAATTAAGACGCTTCAAAACAAAGGTGGAGTGGCTTAATGATAATGTAATGTGTCATTTCGGGTCTCGAACTCGGTATGTTTCTAGACATTACCAACATTTTTAAGTACACCTTTATTGTGTTGTTACAATGCCTCCCCTCAAATACAATGAAAAAAGAGAGAAGTCCAGTCCGAAAATTAGGGCACCGTGGGCCATCCCCTCGCAAAAAAAAAAAAATCGATCCCGATATAATAGAATAAATATTACTTTCATGTAAATGAACTCATGGTGTATAAAATTGGTTCTTCAGGGTTAAATCATAAAAAATAAAACCTTTTCTACTACCACGCGGAGAAACATGAAACATCAGGCTCATTTACACAATGAAGTGTTTTGAGAAAGTTTATTCCATATTCAAAAATTAAAAATCATTAGTTATTAAAGGAATGAAGCTTATTTCAACTTATGTTATACGTTATAACATAACTTGGGGCAGTTTACGCTTTTTTTATAAACCGCTTCGCGGTTTATAAAGCGTAAACTGCCCCAAGTTATTTTATATCGAATAACATAAGTTGAAATAAGCTTCATTCCTTATAATTTAATTTCAATGTAGACAATGAGACAATTTTTCCATTTTTTCCTTCGCAAAAATGCTTCAAACATCGCTTAATGGAGTAATACGTTTTTGACGTAACTCATTGTGACGTAGGCAAGTTATGTTATACAAAATGGATAAAACCGTTTAACCAATCAAATGAAGTGTTACAAGTGAAATTAAATTATATTTATATTTTTGGTTTTTTTTTATCAAGTAAATCAGACTGTATCAAAAGCAGTAATGGTATTAATGCTGCTGAACTGAGGAATGATAGACATTTATGTCATTTTTTTGGGAGGGGGGGGGGTAAACACTTGGACACAACAATCGAACATCATCTCAAAAACGTTATAGAAATTGGTTTCTGTAATATAGATTCCAAACGTCGGAATGACTTGGCCATTCGCGATCATATTCCCAAATACAAAACCTGCTTGACAGAAAAAATATAGCCAAGAGTCACATGTCATGCTTTAGCATATGAGCTTGACTTCTAATCTTACGAAAAATTAAATTGTATCATTGCGCATGGTTTGAAATAATGAACTTTCTAAATTCCTGAAATTGATCAAAACTCGTCAGATGAATCAATAATACCTCTATTTAACGATTGTCTGGATTCCAACTCAGATTTATGAAAAGTTCTAAAATGAAAAAAAAAATGTATAGTACTAATTTGATCAATGATGGGTGTACTGCAGTCATTTGACGAAATCTACATGTAGTTTACATGTATTTGCTTAAGGAATCACTGTCTAGTTAGTATAATATGCCAGGGCATCAACGATAATTGATGTCCCTGGCATTCTATGCTAACTAGACAGGGATTCCTTATATTTCCATTTCATTGTGAAATAAATTTTAAAAATGTAGACATGGATCTAAATTACATGAGGACTCACATGCTAATTTCAAAAGTCCTCGCCCATTGACAAAGACAAATACAAAGACAGCCGTACAAGATTTACATGCATATTTGGCCAACTTAGCTATTGACGCGCCTAATTTACATTCCGGTAGAATTATCAAGAAATCAACTCCATTAACTTTCAAAGAGTTATCATAGAGAAAAAAATTAGAAATGGAAATGTAATGGCATCAGCTTACCTGCAATCGCGGCTTTTCATATTTAGGTAAATTGTGTTGAAATGTACATATTCATATATGTCTAAAGCAATGATTAAATAATTCGTATAGCACTAGTGATAATAACTTTTTTTTTTTGTATGAGGCCATGCAGATAGGTATATCCTTTAATACTACGGCTCTAATTGGACTCTCTAAATAGCTCCACCTGATTGATAATAACGAAAATCAAAAATAGAAAATGAAATAGTTTCAATATTCCAGGCCTAAAAGATTGAAACTTTAAAAAAGAAAATAATATAGTGATTTTTTATTTTTTTTTTGGGGGGGGGGGGGGGGGCAGGTTAATTTTTAATTAATCGGTAGGTAGCTGGAAGCTGAAAACAAGTCAACTTTTAATTTAGGCTCAGATTTCTTGAATTGCATTATTAATGCTTACGATTACAGGTGATAGTACTTTTTTCAGCTATCATTAATACATTCTCAAAAGATGTCGCCATATCAATATTAATTAATCTTCTATATATAAGAACATCGCAAGCGCCAATGGAATGTCAATAGATCATATTGTCTTTTCAGCCTAGTCTATTGTTGTTTCTTTTGTTTACATATTTTAAGCATAAAATCATTGTCGGTATAATGCTCAAAAATAAAGAAATAAATACTGCGTGTATCTAGCTGTATTTTATTTCTAAAAGTTGTTGCAAGTTCAATACAATTTCAAAGTGACTTTTTATCGGAAGATTTCAACATTAATATCACTGACTACTGTTTTTAAATGTATTTAATCTATTATTTTAATTCATTTTAACAAATCTTATTTTTTGAATGATAAATACATTTTATAAGGACTAGATGTATATTCACAGATCTCTCTCTCTCTCTGTCTCTCAATCGATCGATCGATACAATATTTATATGCATGTAAGTATCGCCAGGGGAAATAAGTGTAAACTGTCCGAGGACTATGGATCATTAAAAAAAAACTTATGCTATGCATGGCGCGCCAAATTTTACAACGCTAGTGTACTCCTAAACCCACGTCATAATTAAACGCCAATGTAAAGAAATATGATGTCATATATTAGACCAGTATCAATTTAAAAATAAAGATCCATACTTGTGTCAAAATTTAGGTATTACTGTATTTAATTCAAACTGAGATAAATGATAAATAAAAGAAAAAGTTACATTTTTGTCGGTTTGGCGTTGACACGGTAAACGACATTTTTGTCGCTTTGGTGTCGAAAGGGTTAATCTATTACTTCAATTTATTTTAACAAATCTTATTTTTGGAATGATAAATACATTTTATGAAGACTAGATGTATATTCACAGATATCTTTTTCTTTTTCTCTCTCTCTCAATCGATCGATCGATAAAATATTTACATGTGTATATGCATGTTAGTATCGCCAGGGGAAATAAGTGTAAACTGTCCGATGACTATGGATCATTAAAATAAAACTTATGCTATATATGGCGCGCCAAATTTTACAACGCTAGTGTACTCCTAAACCCACGTCATAATTAAACGTCAATGTAAAGAAATATGACGTCATATTTAGACCAGTACCAATTTAAAAATAAAGGCCCATACTTGTGTCAAAATTTAGATATTACTGTATTTAATTTAAACTGAGATAAATGATAAATAAACGGAAAGGTTAAGCATGTATTACAAAGCGACATTTTTGGCGGTTTGGCGTTGACACAGTAAACGACTTTTTTTGTCGCTTTGGCTTCGAAAGGGTTAAAACTATGTCGCCATGGCATAAACAATACAATATATTGAATATAATCGTATTTATGATGTCACAATGCTCACACAAGGCTATGTTTCGGCATTTATTGAATAAATAAGGCTTTGGTTTATAGGGTTAGCTTTTTGGTCAATTTTAGCTTAACATTCTTATCATTTAGAGGTAAGATTTTTCACAATGGTGTTATACATGGTAGAAAGAATCCCAACAAAAAAAACAAACAAACACTGAAATATTAATTTTATTTCCTCACATACATTTCTTTACAATTACAAATCCTTAAATACAAGATCATGTAGCTAAATTAAATGACATTCCTTATCAAGAGAGAAACTATAAATTACATAGTATTTGATATCAAGCAAACAAATTTCGTAATATTCTTTCGAGGAAATTCGAAGACGCCTCTAATGTATGCAATGTAAAAGCTTGGTTTCAGTAGAGTTTCTACAAAAATTGAGCCGGTGTCTTAATAATTCAATATGTGAAATATCGAAATCTACAATACAGTCCACCTATTTTCATTTTCTCACCTCCTTCTGGCGATTTACGTCGAGGATTTGTCTGAGTCAATCTTCTGACTGTCAGATGTGGCGATTTGTCGCTTACATCATCCGGAAACTGTTTTTGAGAGGGCCGCTTAAAACACACAAAATCCTTTTTAAAATAAATCAATTTCTGCAATAACTTTTGTTATTTTTTATAAGTGACGATTTTTTTTTATTATTCTGAGATTTTTAAAAAATTTATGATCAGTCACTAATGACTATTATTATAAAGTTAGATCAGGGGCGCGGATCCAACACTGGCCTGACTGGGGGCATGTTCTGCATTCTGAAAAATGTACATAACTTATAATTTATAACCCATCGCTTTGCTTATAGAAATTCATTTACAGATCGATCAGGTTTTAAAACTTTTGAAAACACAGCTCTTTCTATTATCATTTATATATAATTTATGGTCTGCTTATTTTGGCCTTAAAAAAACATTTGGGGGGGGGGGGTGAAAGGAGTGGGGGGGGGGGCTTTTTTTCCCCAACTCTGTTTATGTATCTGTTTTCGCTTTTCTATTCTGTATATCCAGGGTCCTATATACTAAGTCCATGGTATATCTTAGTCCGAAATATCTTACGTTTTCCAGGCTTTTTTTCAATTTTGATATTTTTAAGTTTTCCTGGCAATTAAATATCACATATATTTATTCGCAAAAAAGCTCACAAATATTTTTTCGCGAAAAAGCCTGGAAAACGTCAGAATTTTCGGATTATATACCCCAGATTCAATCTACGAGTATACCTTGTATTTTATTCTATAAGTGTTCTTCTTGCTGTGGTTAAAACAAAGGAATTTACACTATAATATGCAAACTGTATTAACAATTGAACATTTTTTAGTGATCTAAATAAACGGCATAGCAAAGCACGAAAGCACGAAATCCATTATGACGTCATCAACGTGAAATGCACGGGAAAAGGGTGCTGAACCAACATGGACTGAAGAAATATGCCAGAAATCTTCAGAAAAAATGCTTGCTTGTGAATGGCAACTCCAGAGGAACATCACTACTCTCATGCAGAGGAAGGGGGCAGGAACTCGATCCAAGTGTTGCCATTACGGGTGTTTGAAAAAGATAGCAAATTGTCATGGACTGTTTGTGCCGTCGTCGTTGTGGTACAAATGCTCATTCCAAGTCTCCTGTTCGTTTTTGGAGTATTTTTCATAGCGTTCATACGGGAATATAATACCTGCAGAGCTAATGTAGGTTTGTATCACTTTTTTTTTCTTATCGAATATTAAAAAATAAGTTTAAGAAGATTATATGATAAATAAAATTAAATATAAATTTGTTTATTGGTGGAAGTAAGCCCATGTCTATAAATTCGTTTACCGCGAGCATATGCATATTCGAAAACTTAAATGTGACTTCGATTTCAGTTTATAGAAACACTACCCCCCCCCCCCTCTAGTATGTCAATTTATCATCTCTCGTAAGCATGAAAGAACCATGTTTTGAGTAGCCTTCTGAAAAACTGCGTCAATTACGTCATAAATCTAGTAACGTTGTTACGTTGTCAAAGACGGAACGTCAAAACTTCGCGCTAAAATACAGCAACTTTTTTGAAAATGGCAAAAGGGGACAAAGGTCTTTTATCTGACAATGACGATCAGGAATTAGAAAATATGGAAGCTACATGTACGACTCCAGAATTCAGAAAGGACAGCTGGCAGTCCTTTTTGATTTGTTTTGCTCTGTTGTTAAATAGAGCTTTTATAGTCGGAGTTCTTCATTCGTGGGGATTCTTTCTCGTCGCTTTCGTCAAAGACATAAAATCATCAACAGAAACTGCTGGTAAGAAATTTTTCATACTTTCATATGCAGAAAGGATAGAAAACACTTACCTAATACCACCATTAACTATAAAAGAGACGGACGCAGTGATATAATAAATAGCCAAGATGTAATTTTAAGAGAAGTGGGGGTTGGGGGGGGGGGGGGGGGGGGGGGTAATAAAAATATCCTTACAGGCAAAAAATTAACCTGTCATTTAACAATCGAAAGAACTTCAACGCGAGAGCATTGATTTCTTTGTACCGGATATACTGGCAAAGTCCCTTGTTGTCCTTGAGCCCTTTGTATATTTGTCCTTGACATATTTATTTTTTTTTTAAGTTGGCCATTATCGTCTATAGTCAGTATAATATCAAAATAATTGGCTTGTGAAATTTTTTTGTTGATTTGAAATTTTTTAGAGTTAAACGATGAACTTGAAATAAAAGATACCACCACAGAGTCTGACACATCTTTTTCATATTTGGATCTTTTACTTGAAAAAGACGTTAATGGTAATCAAACAGCAAAGCATTATGATAAATGTGATGCTTGATGACTTTAACTTTTCAATCGTCAACTTCCCTTACTTATGAAGCAACCTACCTTTGTAACCTGCATACGGAGTTTATATATATCTCTCAGTTGATTCGATACGGAAGAGCAATTTCTAAAACGTGGTAACTTATTGACAAACAAGTTGATGAAGCAAGAATGTCAACAGCTAGTCTCATTTATATTCATCATTTCATATATAAGCTCTATGGTCGATACTATGACCTTGTCAACAATTAAATACAATTTATCAATAAGTCAAATACTGATTGACTTTTTTCATACTAATTGTTAGGCCATTACCTACACATTGAGTTGTCCACAGTTTTTTTCGTTGTTTCCCGATCAAGACAAGGTGCACATGCACGACAGATGTGACTGTTCGGCAGGGGATGCTCACTCATCCATGGCACCTGATCCCATTTCTGATGTTTTAGAGGTCCGTGTTTGCTCCGCACCTGTTTTGTAGAGTTTGATGGACTTTTGAGCACGAATGCTGTTCATTATCTCCACGTATTTTCTTGATAAAACATAGTCAATAAATCTGAGTGTCGAAATGAAGGTCATGCACAGCAAATGTTGTCCTCTTCCTGTGTAGAAGTTCCTTCATGTAGGAATATAAAAACTATTCAGTTAATAAAGGAGCACAATAATTACCCATTGGAATTCCCGCGCATTTGTTGGTTTGGGTACGTCTCCAATGACTACATGTTGTCAACGAGAAAGTCCAGCATCCCTTTAATGCCAAATCCATGCAGAGTACTTGTGTGTACAATCAGATTGGTTGTTAACGAAGTAAATAAATTTCATTTTGCTGAATCGAATGCGACAGTTCATATTAAAAAAAACACTACAGGTCCTCCCTTATTCTCGACATTTCTTGACACTTAGTGACGTTCTTGATATTTGATTTCTTTGCAGCATGGATTGGTTCCGTGGCCTATGGACTGTCTATGACCTTTGGACCAGTTGCCAGTATCCTAGTGAACCGTTTTGGACACCGTGTTGTGATGATTGCGGGGGGACTTCTCTGCGCCGTCGCCGTCTTCCTTTCCTCATTCGTATCCCATCTAAACCAAATGTTCGGCTCCTTCTCGGTCCTGTATGGGATCGGGACTTGCATGTCCGTCAGTCCCACCATGACCATTGCTCCAAAGTACTTCGACAAACATATGACGCTTGCTGTGGGTCTTATGACTGCTGGAAGCAGTATAGGGACCTTGATTATGGCACCAGTTTCCCAGACCCTTATTGACGCCATTGGGTGGAGAAACACTTTCCGCTGTTTCTCTGGGACTTGCCTTTTCAGTGCGATCTGCTGTTGTCTGATTAGACCGCTCCCGTCCTCTGACCAGGAGACGCCATTGGAGACCATCAAAAAGTCTCCCGCCAGGAAACTAATGCAGGAGCTGAAACTCTGGAAGAACCGAGTGTTCGTCGTGTGGACTTGTGCTGTTACGTGCGTTATGTTTGGCTACTATATCCCTTATGTTCATTTGGTGAGTATTTCATGACATACCGGTATTACCAAAATTTCTAAGAAATTATAATAATGTGCAAGTTTACTATAGGAAAACAATGCGGAGAACTTATCATGAACTTTTTTTTAAATTTTAACGATATCTTTTAATTTGTTCAGGTTTCGTATGCACAAGACATCGGCATCCCTCCAGAAAAAGGCTCAATGTTAATTATGGTTTTGGGAATCACCACAGCCATTGGCCGTGTCATGTTTGGTAAAATAGTAGGTCTGGGCGTCTTAAACAGACTTCACATGCACCAGCTGTCGATGGTGGTGACCGGAACAGCTGTAATGATGCTCCCAATGATCCGCTCCTTTATCGGTATCATCTTTTACGTAGTTGTCGTTGGTTTAGTGGACGGATGTTACGTTGTCCTCCTTCCTGTACTGACGGTATCCCTGATGGCAGGGGAGAACTCGGTGACTGCTTGGGGGTTTCTGATTGGCACAAGTTCTGTAACCTTCACCCTTGGTCCACCAGTTGCTGGTAAGTCAGCGAAATGGTCAAAATTTTTGAAAGCTTTTTAAAGTCTTTTAAAAAATATGGGTTTTTAGATGTTATCCTGTTCATACATCTTTGATAAAAAAACAAACAGTTTCTTCTCAGAAACCATCCTCACAAGGTCAGGGGTCCTGAATCAAGATGATAACTCAAGACCCTCGATGTTGTGAGACCACTGCCGTTTTGCGGATGCTCCGAGACAGAAGAAAAGAATTTGAGTTTTTCTTTCATACATGTTCATACTTACAACAGGTGCTTTGTTCGACGCCTTGGGATCCTATAATGTAGCTTTCCACTGCGCTGGAATTCCCGTCATCACTGGTGCAATAATCTTGTTCTTCATTCCATGGGCACAACGGACATCACGCACAGAAAACGCCATGGTTGTGGTCAGTGACATGGAATGCTCTGACCAGGAACAATACGACTTCGCAGACGACTTGATAGACGAGGCGAGAAGTGTGCAAGAAAGACGGTCCAAGTCTGTTGGAAAGGATGGTATTGACATTGATCAGATTCAACTTCATTTTCCCGCCGGCGGGAAATCTCGCAGCAGACGATTTCGTGACCAAGGAACTTCCACGTTACCAGACAACATCCAGTATGTCCCACAAGATCTTACTGAGGCTATTACCATGCTACAGGAGAATGCTCGCCTGATATCTGAGATGCTGTCAAGTGGAAATCCGCAATCAAAAGCTGAAGCAGCGCAGAAAGAGAGATGG